TGTAGAATTTCTTGCATGTAAAACTCGACCCGAATATGGAAGAAAAGAAGCAAATGCACGTCGGACGGACTTTTACCTGTTTGCGTGGGAATATGGTTCTTATTGAATAAAAATGTATAAGATAGCGACAAAGTAAACTTTTTTAATACACTCGGAAAAGCTTCTTTCTTCTCATACGCAGTGAAAGAAAATTTGTCTTGTCAGGTTAATATTATAGAATACATTTTGAACAAATCAAATTTGCAAAGATTTTCGAAGATGTTTTCTTTCAAAAAGGAAAGTTTTTTTTTTTTGTTTTTTATTACAACGCCGAGACAATTTCGAAATCACAGGATTTGACGCAAGGATAAGCGAGGATATATCATCTTCTCCCATTAGCATTGTGGGTGCAAGTCGCACATTATTCGATCATCCTGACTTGAGTCTTCTAATCTAATACCTTAATCGCTTCGGTCTCTATATATCGAGATTGCAGATAGAGTTTCATCACCGCGCGGTATTGCTTATGGCACGAGGCCTTAAATGGTCCTTCGCTATAGTAGCAATTTGATACTCGAAGGCTTGTTACACCAGTATACACCATTTTCCTTAGTTTTTCTGCGTCCGTAGAAGAAAACGTCGGTTTCTCTCGAACGCCATTTTTAGTTCATTGTAGACGCATATAAAGCCAGTACCTGAAAACTTTTGATTTCTCGCGCACGCGTACAGTTCAAACTTCATTCAACGGCAAATCGAGAAAGTTCTTTTTGAATTTTACGTGGACGCGGTGGTTCAGTTGTAAAAAACTTTCACGTATAAAACACACGGCGTATAATTTTTCGTACACAACTAATTTTCAAACTCAAATGTGGCTTAAAAACACGAATTTTTATTCCACCCATCCATCCATTTCTTTTTTCCAACGTGAAATAAAAGAGCTTAAAATGCAAAACGTGTTTATTTTAACACACCACGTGGGAGTTTTTTTTTTTTTTTTTATATGCCTTTTTTTGGGCACAAATTCCTCTCCAACTTTCTAACGCATTTTGTTCTCCCAAATAATGATCAATATTGACATCTGTCATTGTCCAGCGCGTTACGCCACTGGTCACCTCGCCCAATGCGAGACCTCGCGCGTGCGTTACGACTCGAGAGCGAGAGAGATCCTTTCTCTCATTCTCAGGTAGAAAAGTGCGAGTAGGAAACGACAAAACAGGAAGGACTTGTATACCCGGTATAATCCGAGAGAAAGAGAGAGAAGATAATAACTCGTGCGAATTTAGGCGAGAAGCAAAGAGGAAGAGAGAAAAGACCCTTTTGCTCTTAACTTGCACAAAAGAAAATGTGTTGGGAAAAAAAATCCAGATAGCAAATTTTATATTCTTGGTAAGTGGCCTTCGGCAGAGCACTGTGTTTTGTAAGATGTAACGTAGAATGCCGACATCCAACTAGACTATAGACAGGACAGATCAACGAAAAAGGATCCAACTGAATATAATTTTGTTTTCTGCCAAAATATTTTCTAGAGAGACGGATAAAATCGATACTCTACTATCCGTATATAAATAAATTATTATCATTACTATTTATCTTGATTCTGAATTTCGTGTTCGGGAGCGATTTTTGAAAATAAGGAATTGTCTACTTAGTCTGGGAAAAAAAACAAAAAAACAAAAAAAAATATCAAAACTACTGTTTCTTTCCTTAATTTAAGAATGTTGAACAAAGCCTCATTAATTTTTATAACTTTTTGCAACGTTTTAACCAGTAAAAAAATCGCGACATCAGACATAAATGTCAAGTTTTTCAAGATTGACCTAAAAAAACTACATTTACAAAATTAGGATTTATATAATATACATATACTTAATATATTTATATAACATATATAAATTATTATATATATATATATATAATTTGTGTGTATATAATTATATTCATTATATAATTATATATGTAAATAAATTACAATATTATTTAAGTTTTTTAATCCTAGCTTCAAACACGCGAACATTTCTTGATTACGAACGTAATCAAATGTCCTCATAAATGCGCGCGTAAATGTGTGGGTACACGTGCGCGCAAAGAATACGGTGCGCGGAGTTTAAACATGAAATCCCGTTTCGACGTTCTCGATCTATGTACGTCTGCTGGACCGGAGAGAAGATGCCTTCGGAATTTATTAACGGAACGTGCGCGCGTTCGTGTACATGCGGTACATTTTTCTCACTATACGTCAGACGGTATAAATCCGGAATGCCTATTTGTGTTGCTTCACAAGTTTCGATCGTTTTTGTCGAGCAAGCGGCCCTCGCGCCATTGCGCGTCTTCTTTCGAACGGCGTTATTACACGTCGCGATTAAAACGAATGACTTATGTACAATATTTTTTTCAACCGTTAGAATGTCATATATTTAAAAAAAAAAAAAAAAAAAATATTATCAGATCACGTCTCTCAAGGACGTTACAATAAAAATTATAAATGTAGAAAAAAAATGCGTAAGTAAACTTGTACAAAATTGAGGGGAGCACAAGATAAGAGGATCCCTCTTCCTCCTCCTGTCTAGAGCTAAAACACGCACGGTGCAATGATTCGGTAGCGGAACGCGGATTACCCGCACCAACGTCTCCGGTCGTCTCGGCGTCGTCTGCGACGCTCGCTCGGGAAAGCTGTCCTACTCGGAGAGACGAAGTCTCTTGCATCTACATGCCGTACGGGCGACGCAACGTGTCATCGGAGACGAATCGACACAGGCGGAGACACGCATACCTTGCCCCTGATGCAAAAGTCCACTGTGGACGACGGGCATACGTAGAAACGCTACATACTGGGAGAATCGTGCTGGGAAAGGCGTCTGTGTGTGTGTGTGCACGTCCCGGTAGCGAACAACACAGTACAACACACAACGACGGGAGCAGCCGACACAACGGAAGACGGAGGACAACGCCGTGGTCAGAAAGAGCGGGCTGGCCGACAAAGAAGGATGAACACACACGTAGGGCAGGTTGCGGAACAGAGACAAGGATAGACGCCGACGGCGTCACGCCGCCGGTTTCTCGGATCGAGCAGCGAGCACACGAGAGAGGACGAGAGAGAAGAGGACAGCGTAACGTGGATGAGAGAGGCAGAGAGAAGGGCAAAGAGGGACCTTTCCCTCTATCGTTGTGGCTCCACCCACACGCCACCACCGTCGTCGTGGAGGCGCGCAATCTGGCAACAGTGGCTCGCTATAACCGATATTGTGGCCGTGGGATTGAATGGAGGGGAACTAGAGCTCTCTCAGGTCAAACCGCCCCACTGGCAGAGCGCGGCAACCCCTCGCAAGTACAAGAGGAGAGCGACCCCTCGCTGGCTAACCCTTCCTCCAGCGCTGTCCGAACGCTCTGTCTCGTTCCCGCTGCCGCTCATCCACCCTTAACGCGCGTCGCATCCCTCCCTATCGCTCCCTCTCCCCTCGTTCTCGGATACAATATATATATATATATATATATATATCGCTCTCTCTTTTTCTCTTTCATCCCTTCCCGCTGATTGTGCCACTACTCACCAGATGGCGACTGAGCACGTAGTCGCGTCTGTGTGTGCGTGTCACGTTTCTCCCACTACGCTGATGGAACACCGTCACCACCACAACGACGGTACTCATGCGGTGTGCTCTACCACCAGTGTCTTCGACAACGAGTTTCACCCACCCATCCGGACAGGGAGAGAGAAAGAGAGAGAGAGAGAGAGAGCGATCGGTGTGTGTACGTGCCGCGCATATATGTGTGCATGGAGACGTGACGACGAATCGGCGCGAGACAAGGACACACGGCGTATATACCCGGTCGTGTGCGCGGTCGCCATACGCACGCGCGACGAAGACGGGATGAGCGCGCTCGTGCGCGGTGGGAGCGAGAGGGCGAAGAGCGACAACGAGGGACAAACTGAGAACGCGGCAAAGGGAGCGAGCAAGAACGACGCCGTCGGCCCCAACAACCTCTCACTAGACAGTATTACTTTCAACCGTTTAGCGGGGCCAATGCTACCCGGCACCGGAGTAGTCAGTCAGCCGAGCAGTCGGAATCAGCCGTCCGCAAATACCAAAAGGACGCTCTTTCCTCTTCGTCCCTCTTTTTTTCTCTCCATTTTCTCTGTTCCCCGTTTTCCTGTCTCTTCTCGTCTCTAACTGCCATGCGTCCTTCCGCATTCGCAGGCTGACGAAATAGAGGAAAAAAGGAAAGGTAAAAAGAACAAAAAAAAGAACACAAAAGTACAAAAAAGAAAGAAAGAAAAAATCGACGTTTTTTTTTCTTATTATCTACATGACGGGACCTGCATTCTGCGATCCTCGCTGGTGTCGTTCGCCGTATCTTCGTATAACGAGCCTCCGACGGCAACCGACGACCACCCCGACGCTGCGCTCGTGACAGACTGAGGCGCGCGCGACTCTTTCTCTGTCCTCTCCGCGCGGCCGGTGGATATAAATATAGTTTCCGCGGACGGGAGTCTCTCTCGTGCGAGAGAAAGAAAGAGGATAAAACTGGCGCGCGGCTACGACGGCCGTTAAAGAAAGAGAAGGAGAAGCGGCAGCAGCAAGCAAGCGGGAGAAGGCGGAAGAAGAGGGAGATCGAAGAGCGCGCCGGCACACGGTTGTTGTTTCTCATTTCAAATATTTTTTTTTTTTTCTCTCTCGGCGCGATCGACGTCGATCGGATCTATGCGAGGATACGCGGTGCTCGAACGAGTGAACGAACGGATATACTTGGATTATTGTATTTCGTGCGTACGTACTTTTTCGTGTATAAGCGTTATTATACATCGTAAGGAATCCCGCGCCGGAAAAGTAACGCCGATCGCCGACGTTCGTCGTAGCGCGCCACAAGGACTCTCGACAGCCGGTATCGGCTACGAGAGCGGAGGAGTTCTCTTCCCCCTCTCTCTCGCGCGCGCGTCGCTCAAAAGGAAGAGACGGGAACGAAGCGGGGGAGGGGGAAAGAAGAAGCAGGCGCATCGTATTCGAGTCGCACGCGCTACGACCGGTTGTCACCTTCAGTTAGCTCGTGTCTCGTGCGTCGTACGGATCTCGTCGTGCTGTTTGTCGCGCGCACTTCGCGGTCCCGCACACGTTTTCTCTCATATACAAATTCTCGTGGACAATAAATAAATTTGTATCTCCCACGTCGTCGCGCGCGCTTTTTTTTTTTTTTCGCCGTGATGCGTCTGTGACGGACGGTGACGAACGGGCCGAGGGTGTTTCGGACGGTTTCAGTGACCAGTGGCTCAGGTCATTCCGCCGATGGACGATGACGATTAACGTAGACAACAGCAACACCGCGTCGATCACCACCGTGGACCGCGTGACGCAAAACAGTGTGCTCTGTGTGATTTAGTGTGTATAACTTCCGTGTTATATTTCATACATATATTAAAAAAAAAAAAAAAAAAAAAAAAAAGCATTTGATACACTCGTATTTATCGAAAGACGCGCGCATAGTGGCTCTCTATAAAGCGTCTAAAGCGCGTGTACTTGCACGGATAACGCATGCACACGCGCGCTCCGATCGTATTCTTGGATTACACACACTTCTCATCACGAATCTCTTCGTGATCGTCTCTCTGACCAGGGAATAATGCGACACTGCAGTTATTTGATAGGTAAGTCCTCCGCATCTTTGCTTGCTACCATGTTAGCCGAAAATTTGATCAGAAATCGTGTTCGGGTAGCATTAAACGCACACACGCCAGTGACAGATTTTCTCGAACGATTGTCGACAATTTTCGCGCGCGCGGATAGAAAAATAAACATCTAACGTAATTTCGCGTGAGAGAGCACTTAAAATTCTCGTAATTCTCATTTATGACAATTTCATATCGGCGTTCTAAGAGAGCAAATTTGTATAAACGGTGATTAATGCAACGTGTTCCAGTTTTTAATTCGATTCACCGGTAGTATGTGTGTGTGATAAAAATGTATTTAAAAAAAAAAATCTTAATTTTTATATATATTATTAAAAATATTATGTTATAAATCTCTAATTTTTTTTTTTTTTTAGTAATTTAGCTTAAACAGTTTCGACGTTATTCACGCGATCGCGTTTTTATTTTCTCGCGAGAAAAAGCGCGAGGAACCGAGTTTTTCAATTGTAATCTTGTTTTTCGTGCGTGCTCGTCGAAAGCGTTTACTTCGAACGTTAATTTTCATTCATAAATTCGTCCACGCGAAATATATGCTGTGAATTTTTAAATTTCTCGTCAGTTTCGAGTTCATCTGTAAAGTACTGGTGTAGAAGCGGTATAGTAGTCTAATAGTAGTAGCACAATCGCTAGTTTAGTCGCTAATATTTTCAGTTAGCCTCGTTTTGTGAAACGCGCTTTTCGATTCACAATCGACGCGAAATCTCTCGCACGACTCTCTCGTATATCGATCGGCGGGAAAACGCCTGCGATCTCTCTTTCTCTCACCTCTTACTCGCTCATTATTACATCGCGGTAGTGGATATATTCTGACTGGCACGGCGCGGCGCTTTCACAACGGGTGATTGTTCTAAAGATGTGTCATTCCGTCTTGCTCGCGCTATACGTGCTCGTTGAGGCGCGAGAGAAAGATGCGAAACACGCGGCTACGAAGAGAAAGACGATAGAACGGAGGAAGAAGTAGAGAGAGAGAAAGAAAGAGAGAGAAAGAGAGAGAAAAAGAGGGAGAAGGAAAGAGGAAGAGAGAGAAGTGATGATTTCGTCGTGGACGAAACTTTGTTTGTGATCTAGAATGCACTAGCTTTCCTTGGCTGCAATTCCAAGGGGAAGAACGTGCCTAAACTTTTGTTAAACTTACATGTAAGATTTGTTCCAGATTATTTAATACCTGAAAGTCTTTCACTAGTCTTACGCAGAGAATTTGTCGTTATTTTGCCTGTTTCTGGGAAAAGTCCGAAGTCGTAAATCACCCCGCTGACACTTTTGTTCTTTTGTATTATTGACATTGATATTGGATGCGTAGAACCGGTCACAAAGAATCTTTTTGCAAAAGTGGGGGTAATTCTTTCATTTTAAGACGTACTTCTCGAAAACTTTCCTCAAATATTTTGCCTTTTACGATTCGAACTTTTACAATTCGATACGTTGTATCTTTCAAATACGATACACGTTTAAACTCATAAACATTTGTAATAAATAAATTTTTAATATTAAAAATTAAAAAACTAATATTAACATATAACATTACAATTTGTAATAGATAATTTTTTTTGTAATAAAATAAATTGTTATTGCAACCAAGATAACAAATAACAAATGATAAATAACGAGAAAGTACAAGTAATATCTCGAAGTTTTGCAATTATTGTTGTAACAATATAATTGTGTAAAAATCGTTTTTTTTTTTTTTGTTTTCAAGAGAAACGTAAATGTTAAATACTTTAGCGTGCGTATTTATTAATATAATTACGCGGTTGCATTTAGCGAGTAATGTCAAAACGTGGGTTGCGAAAGCGAAGACTTTAAAATCCGTTTCCGATTATCCACACGACCTTCTCGGCTTTCCGAAAAACAAAAGCAATAATATGTCGTACATCTGTGTATATTTGTCTACACACGCGGAAATCGCATTTGTTTGTCGAGCTTCGCATCCTCATGTGACGCACGTATGCTTTTATCGATAAACGAGTTACTTGAACTCACGCCGTTCCGTAATCTCCGACGTGCGACCTTAATTATTTACTCGTCGTCTAATTTCCGACGTATTTCTATTTCACTTCCCTTTCGCATCAGATTCTAATCGTTTTATACACATTTTTAATCGCTTTGTCCGCTATATTTAATTCAATTAATTTCGAGATCACGATTTTGATTTGGTTATCCCTAATATTGTTACATGCAAAAAATGTGTGTGTTAACAATATTACACATATTATTTTACAATATTTCCAACATATATTTCCTAATTTCTTCGTCTCGTTTATCGCGCACACAAACGTCCGTTTCGAGAACTTATCAGACGATCACGTGACTCGAAATCGACCTCGTCGAAGACACTCAGGTAGGTTCGGTATCTCTTTCGACGCGGTATTGTCACCCAACATCTGTTATCAGACGTTGGGAAACAAAACGTGTAAGTACGGGAGGCTAGCCTTAAAAAAAAAAAAAAAAAAAAACTGAATCAATATTCTTGCGTTCGAATATATATTTCAATATATCACACGTTAACACACTGCGGTGAGCACGTCGTCATCAAAAAATCGTCGATAACAAGCAGAGCGGACGCTAAGAATTTTTTAATTCAGTCACTTAAAAATAAAAAATAAAAAACCCTGACTATTGACGATCTCTTGCTTATTGGTGCAATGCAATTACATCGAGAAGATAGAAGTTTTTATTTGCGAAAATGATTTCTTACTTGAAGAACAAGAACTAGTTGCTCCGCTTTGTTATTATCGGGAAGATTATTACTTCGTGGATACTCGTCATAAAGTATCTGTATGTCAGCGGTATCGCTTATATACGTATCGTGGCAGACATTCGCACGCCGAGAGAGAGAGAGAAAGAGAGAGCCGCGCGATAATCTTGACAATATTAAATACGCAGTATTCTTCGTAGCTCGGCTATCTAATCGTTTATTACGACTGACAATATCGTATATACACGCGACGAGGCACTGTACCACATGTACTATCGACGCGCTCGGCTAATTTTTCAGGATAGTTACTCCGACTTGTGCAACAATTTTCCATAAGCTCCGTAAACCTGATGTCGCCTCGCGATAGTGTTGCGTGTATAGAGACAAACAGTTCTTTACATCTAAACAGGTCGATCTAAGGAATGCGAGTCTTTCGAATTTTTATTTCTTTTATCGTTCGAAATCGTACAGATAACAGATCCTTGGTGTTGTTTCGTCAGACGTGTCAACTTGGAAATAATTGTATTCATTGGTATTTTTTGTAAATTATTTATTTTTTTGTAAACATATTTTACAAATATATTAACTTCTCGCGGAAAAAAAACCAGTAGCATTTCGAGGGGAAAAATTCGCGCGCACAATTTTCTGAAACTATTAATCGGCTATTATTAATCCGGGACCTGTTATAATCGAAGGAAAACACACAGATGCTCCGGAATCGGTTGAGGAAAGTTGTTCGTAAACAAGTAGGCTAATTAGCGCAGTTTCCCTTGAAATATTGTTCTGAAGAAGAAGCGTGTGCTTAAATGGTGTTGATAAATAGCTCTTTAATACGTCTGCAGAGCAAAAAGTAAGAAAGCGCGCGAATGATAAATCGTCTCCGGAGCGAGTGATAATGGTATGCGGCGAAATAATATGTGAAGTTGCTCTGTAACAGATCCCGATCTCTCTCTCTCTCTTTCTTTCTCTCTCTCTCTCTCTCTCTGTCGCCTTCTCTCTGTCAAAGTCCGCGAAACGATCGCGGCGATATCGGGATTAACAGAATGGAACAAAACTCGTTAAAAAAATCGATCTTTCGTCTCCGTTCGAATTTCTCGCACGCGCGCACGCGCGCAGAGAAGAGGAACAAAAAATCCAGATGAATCATTCAGATCGAGCGCGATTTCCTCTTCGTCGTTTCCATCTCTCTGTTCGCGCGATAAGCGATCGGCAAAGGCGCGGCGGAAATCGTGCGTTCCGCTTTTGTGGGAAGCCAAAACTGTGTCAGGATCCCTTGACATTTGTGTGTCGCCGCTTCAACGCGACGACCTTGTCCGAGCTTCGCTTCTTCCCCCGGCTTTTATTATTCGCCCCACATTCGCGCGTAGGCGTTATGGCAACGCAATCGATTCGCAGTAAATTTTGATAACACCCGCGAGAGAGATGTTGCCCGCGACTTCTCGTTAACGAAATTACAACAAAACTCCGCGAGTGTTGTGAAGAAGACCGCGGCCAAAAACTCTATATGCGGCAAGCGCTTGTGTGTTATCTACTTCCTGATAATTAGAAACTAGTAGTTTTACGCGCGCGGCATGTGAATAGCGAACAGAAAATTGTGTGGAGAGAATCGTAAGTCGCGCGCGCACGCGTTATATCAGTGTAGAGCCGCTGCGCGCGAGCTTATCGGCGCTTTTTAATTACGTTCCGAACACGGAAACGATATCTTTTACGTACGTCTTCGCTACTCGCTCGCGCTTTATTCCCTCCGCATGCAATGTTCGTGAAACGATTTAGATTTTACCGTCACATTGTCGAGTTGGATTTTCATTCGTCAAAACGTCGATTCGCGATTTGGCAATTAGGCATTTGTGTTTATCGGTCGACAAATTTGTGAGATTTTATTAAACCACAACGGGGTAGCTTTTTTTTCTCTTTCACGTCGTAATTCTCCATCGGGAATTACCGCGGGCGTCGTGCCCGCGCGATTGTCGAGCTTTCACCCAAGACTGTGAAAGAGACGATTCCGGGCAGGAGGGATTTATTGAAGTATTTCGCGTATTCTACGACTGTGCATAACAGAGAGAGAGAGAAAGAGAGAGCGCGCGCGCACATTCACAAAGCGGCGAAGTTCGCGCGCGTGTGCGTTTATCGCGATCTCATCGTCGCCGCACGGCAAGCGGTTTCGTTTAAAGCCTTCTAATCTCGATACAGGCACCGTCGCGGTGGCACAATATCAGAAATAGGTTTGTTAAAATAAGCGTACACTCGATGGCGCGTACAGCGC